TTTTTTTTTTTTTTTTTGCTTCGGCAGTTGTGCTCCCGGAGGTTTGGGGCGGCAAAAAACCTAGAGCCAGCCCTGGTGACTGGTGTGGAGAATATGAATAAGACAGAACTAGGGGGTCACCCAATGAAATTAATAGGCAGCAGGTTTGAAACAAACAAAAGGAAGTACTTCTTCACACAACAAACAGTCAACCTGTGGAACTTGTTGCCAGGGGATGTTGAGAAGGCCATAAGTGGCTTCAAAAAAGAATTAGATAAGTTCATGGAGGATAGGCCCATCAATAGCCTTAAGTCAAGATGGTCAAGGATGCAAGCCTGTGCTCTGGGTGTCCCTAGCCTCGGTTTGCCAGAAGCTGGGAATGGGTGACAGGGGATAGATCACTAGCTGATTGCCTGTTCTGTTTATTCCCTCTGAAGCATCTGGTACCGGCTACTGCCAGAAGACAGGATAGCAGGCTAGATGAACCATTGATCTGACCCAGTATGGCTGTTCTTATGTTCAAGGGGTTAAGATCATCACTAATGCAAATAAATACACTTCTAAGGGCATGTCAGAGCAGAGTCTTCTTAGGGCTAGTCTACACTGGCAACACTAAAGCACTGCTACGGCAGCGCTTTAATGTACCTTGCGTGGTCACAGCACAGCGCTCTAAAAAACCCCACCTCCACAAAGGGCGTGGCTCCCAGCGCTGGGGCACTGTTTACACGAGCTCTGAAACTTGCTGTGTTCAGGGGGGTGTTTTTTCACACCCTGAGTGAGAAAGTTGCAGTGCTGTAAATTGCCAGTGTAGACAAGCCCTTACTCTAAGGGCAAGTCTTCCTACTCAGAAAAAAGGGCCAAACACTCATCTAACTGTAGTATGGATCATCCATAGCTCTTGTCCTCTTCCCAGATATTCTCCCTATGATTTTGGTCATAAAGGAGAAAAGCCTTTTCACCCAAAGAGTCCATTAAAGGTCACCCGCTGAATGTCTTTTACCTGAAAACAGATAGGAAAACTAAGGAGGTAAGTAAAAAAAAATGAACACTATAAATTATCTGAATCATGGGTGCCTGGAGGCTGAACAAGGCCAAACCCAAAAGAAATGGACTCTGACTACTCCAATGATATATCATCAGATTCCTTATCTCTCAAGAGGGTAACTTTCAGACTCCAGGCAATCCTAAAAGTGAGAAACAGTTACTTGAGAACATCTTTTCCCCCCAAGTATACTGCAACACTGGTGACAAGGGTTACCTAGTGTCTTGGAATGAAGCAGACTGAAGAAAAGAACTTTCAGGAATCACTAAAAAGCATATTTCCATCCAAGAGGGAAAAGGAATCAGGATTCGCTGTCCATACATCCAGAAACAACAATTTGCAGTTCAGAGGGGGATAAATCTTCTCCAAGGGAGATGCATTCATAGCATGATTATGTTACAGAAGCATAGGTGCTAACTCTGTGGGTGCTCTGGGGCTGGAGCACCCATGGGGAAAAAAAATGGTGGGTGCTCAGCAGCAACCAGCCACCCGCTGATTAGCTCCTCCCCCCAGCGCCTCCTGCCCACCACTGATCAGCTGTTTGGCACTGGGGGAAAGGGCAGAGCAGGGCAGGAAGAGACAGGGAGGAGTGGAGTCTCAGGGAGGGGGCTCTGTAATCCTTGCAAGTTTCCACCTCAGCTTTACTGTTCAGCTGAAGCTTTCCCTTGCCTAGCTAAAAGAATTCAAGAAGCTGTTGATGAAGGTTAAATGATCCCTGGCAAAAAATATTAAATATGACTTCAATAACTTCTTCCTGTGCTTCACACTCTATCACAGGTGCCATATGATTCTCCATCAGCTCCATGGCAACTAATGCAGTAGCCAGATTCCCAGATCAAATGTCTTCCTACAGGTTCGGTAACTGACTACAAGTTATGCAACAAAAAGTGGTGCTCCTTTCATACGTAAAACTTTAATCAAAGGAATTCCAGACCCTCTAGAAGAAGATATGGACAACACAAATATCAGATAAGGAAGACCCTAAAGCATCAAGCAATTTGCATGCCTATATGCTAGTGACCAAGAACTACTACCCAATTAGTGGATATCCTATGTGGGATATCCTGCTCTAGAGGGTCCTTGGAATTACAAAATATGCAGTCAAATTAGCAAAATTCAGAATAAATTCATCTTATTTTTCTCTGCCTCTATGTTTTCAATTTTTTGTACTGAAAACACGCAAATTAATTGTATAAATTGCCATATGATAAGCTGGAGCTTTTCATACCCAGCAAAGTAGAGGTAATGGTATGGAAGTATGGAATAAACACATAAAATAGGTGTTTCTGGTAAAATAATCTTGAGTGAAACAGCTAAATATTAAAATGTAAATGATTATCATTAGGTTTTGGAATCAACACCCTATTGAGACGAGTGGGAACGTGCACGCCTCCTTTAGAGTTAACTGTTTCTGGCTATACCTTTGCAACCATAAAGGCTAGAAATACAATTTTTTTTAAAACGAAAGCTTAGATTCTGTAGCACAATTCTGCTACCAACTCTACTTCAGCAGTCATAAAACACATGGGAATCAATCTCTAACTTGAAAAAGTTGAGCTGCACTACCAGCCGCATCTTCAATGCATTTGCAATCTTGTTGCTTCTACTGTAACTTTTCACCTGCAATAACAACATACAACAGCATGAGTTTGAGTGAATCCTTTTGGCAGTGGATGGTCAGCTGAAGGTCTTTTATTTGCAAGGTGACTAGCATTGAAAATTTGAGCCACCTCCTTGAATTAACAGTAACAAAATAGCGTCAAGACACAGCCTAAGAAAGGCAGAAATTGGCCTCTCAAGAAGACTATTAAAAATCCATTTTTTTTTCAGGTTTAACTGCAGTTTTCATTTATGGATTTGAGGGAGGGTGGGAAAATTCTTTTGGTTCAATGCTAAAACCCAGATTCCTTACATACATATACCTTATTGTATGGAGCGGTAAGCAAAGAAAAACATGTAATTTAAAAAAAAAGAAAGATGACAAAGAATGATTCCAATAACAGATGAAATGCCTGACAGGGAGGAATGTTTCACATCTATGGTCTGGACACTATATCCCGGTGAAAATGTTACATAACTGCTTTTCAAAGTCTTTCTTGAAAAGACCAGTCATTCAACAGTTGCCCCAGCCGTTAAAGAGTGCTGAATGACTGGGATGTTTCATTCAATAATGTACTGTCCTCTGACACAGACTAAGCTGCCTATATGATTAAATGTTTCTGGGATGGTCCAAGCTCTCTCCTGCCAAATGCTGCTCATATAACAAGCTTGGCAGACATTAAAAAAATCTAATTAGAGAGTCACTCAGGAAGCCATTTCAACTTGGGAACCACTGTGTTCTTTAGTTTAAAAGAATGTATATATTTTAAGTTAGTCACAATAAAGCTCATCGACACAATGCAAGTGTCCTTCCTGAAGGACAACAAAACATTACAGTGCCACGTGATCCTGCGGGTATTCAGTGAAATTCCCAGTCCCTGCCTATTATGTAAAAGAAAACAAAACAGGAATTTAAATGCTTCAGGTGATAATTAATAAATGGAACAAGTTAGCAATTAACTTGTTTTAGTGCAGAAGCTAAATTCCATGCTGTCAGATCCTCAAACATGACCTGCAATGGTAAACACCAATTGTTTCACCTTCCTTGCCCCTTTTTGGGGGTGGGAGAAGAAAAAGAACCACATTTGAAAAACTGGAAATCTTGGACAATGCCTATGACCTTCTCAAAGAGCTGTGCATAGATACCATGTACTATTTAGGCTACCTTGACGAAAAAGGTGACAATATTTTCTCCAACAATTCCTAGCTAACAGAATTTATAACTGTTTGTATTATATTACAATCTCACTCCCAGCCAATCAACATACAGGTTTCATCAGACTGTTAAAGTGTTTTTGTTTTGCTAAAGTTTGGTCTCACATAGCCTTCAAAATGGTGGGGATTGCCAGATCAGCTGGTAAAGTTAGGCTGTGTCTATACTACACATCTTACAACAGCACACAGCTGTGCCGCAGCAGCCACGCTATTGTGGGGTAAGCGATGTAGTCGCTCTTTGTTGCCAGGAAAGAGCTCTCCTGCCGACAAAATAAAACCACCCCCAACAAGGGGCAGTAGCTTCATTGCCAGGAGAGTGTCTCCCTCTGACGAAGCACTGTCCACACTGGTGCTTTTCGTTGTTAAAACTTTTCTAGTTCAGGAGGGTGTTTTTTCACATCCCTGAGCAACAAAAGTTTTAACGACGAAAGCTCAGTGTAGACATAGCCTTATATTTCCTCCTGGTGAAACATTCCTTATATAAAACCATTGAGGGGAGGGTATTCTCTCCTTAAAAAGGTTATAAAAAAAATGCAGCCAAGGTTAATGGTACACAGAAAAGAAATGAGACAGGCAGCATTGTTTAGCAGTCTGAGTTTGAGTGGAAGTCTGTAACTCTTGAGTTCTAATCATAGTTGACTAGGGTTACCATACGTCCGGATTTTCCCGGACATCTCCGGCTTTTTGGGCTTCAAATCCCCGTCCGGGGGGAAATCCCAAAAAGCCGGACATGTCCGGGAAAATCGGGACATGCGGGGCTGGCGGTGCTGGGCAGGGGCCGGGCTGGCGGTGCTGAGCCGGGGGCCGAGGCCTGGGGGCCAGGGCCGGGCCGGCGGTGCTCGGCCGGGGGCTGGCCCGGGGCCGGCACCCCCAGGGCCCGAGCCGACCCAGGCTGGAGACGCCGGGGGGGCCAGACTGGGCTGCGCCTCCTCCCCCCCCCCTTACCTGCGGGAATGTTCGCGGGAAGCAGGGGAGGGGGCGGAGTTGGGGCGTGGGGGCGTGGGCGTGGGTGGAGCCGGGGCCCCGTGGAGTGGCCCCTTTTTGGACACTCAAAATATGGTAACCCTATGCTTGCTATCCCCCTAATGCCTGTCCTGGCTTTTGTATGCAGAAAACCAGTTGTGGTGGTACACGTTCGCTGTGGAGTTTTGATAGCATGTTGGGAGGGGTGGGGGCTCAGGAAGAAAAAGGTTGAGAACCCTTGTCTTAGAGTACATTCCCGTTGCTCACAAGGTTCTTTTTCAAATCAGCCTGGTGCTGGGGAGGAGAAGAAAGGGGAGATTAAGGAAAAATCCCCAAATCACACAATAGTTTGGAAGCTGGGGTTGTTTTTTTTTAAATTTGTTTCTGGTATATCCTCAAAACAGCCAGAGAATCAAGACTTAGGGAACTTTGTAACATTGGTTATTAATTTTTTTATCCAATTTGGAGAGTTTTCCATTGACTCTAAAGGAAAACTGCAGGTACTGGATATATCTACCTTGGAATGGCAAAGGGCTGAGTTCAAGCCTCACAGTTTAGACCTCTACGACATCCACCCCTCTTTCAGTTAATCTCTCCCTGGGCTTGTTAGTCTGGAAAACTTGAAAAGCATTTTGAAATGTCCGCAAACTGTACGATCTCTAATAAATTGTTACAGCTATACCAACTACACGATACATGGTACTGTCAATGATTTCAGCGGGTAACTGAAGCAAGAGCCATTACCATAACGCCAAAGGGTCTTTGAATTTTTCCATAGTGTGGATCTCATCTCAACAGACCAGTTGCCTCACAAACCATCTTCCACTTTCATCGCACGGCCCCAATCCTCTCCCATTTGCAATGCCGTTGCACTTCTGTGGCAGCTACCACAGTGGCTTACATACTAAAGTAATATTAGGAAAATGTATTTTTAGCTTCTTTTAAGGAGAGACATTGACCAGTCAGCTCTTTGGGGACCACCAGTGGTCTGTGGACAACAGTTTTGCGGTTTCTGCCATAACAGATCGTGGTTCAAGCATACCTCTTCTGTGTATGTTCTGGCAGCGTGTGAGCAGATGTAAGCAGACATAGGGGTGTTTTTTTTCTAGACTGTTGGTTTTGTCAATAAGTGTAGTGAATAAGGCCAATAAACACTGGAAAATATTGGCTTTTGGTCACTGGTCAACTGTCTTGGAAATGTCCAACAAGGGTATTGGGGACTATTTGATGTGAGGGGAGAAAATAAGCCAAGAGTAAATACTTCAGGTTTTCTAGTATGTGGCTGCATGACAAGAGCACTGAAGTAAGATTGACTGTAACTGTAATGTGATTTCACTAGGCCGTGACTGTAAAGTAACAGTGAGGTATATTTTTGACAACGGTTTCCACACAGTTGTTTTTCTGAGGTACTCCAGTTTCCCCCAGTATTTGGTTGGTAAATATTGACCCTTTAACGGTGATGGCTGTAGGTAAGCTTCATTAGCTATGGAATGGAATTCCCAGCAGTAAAGCTTTTTCTCTCTGCAGTATTTCTGGGAGCAATGCTTCAGTTTGATAGACTGCTAGGTGGGCAGGGTGTATGAATGTTGTGGGACAGAGCAGCCTTTTTAATACTTTGAAATCTCCAACTCTGAGCCTCTTGACTGGCTTGCCCAGTACTGAATTATACCGCTTCTCCCTGCGAGTCTAATCCTTCTCTGTTTCTTGCTTGTACGTGAATAAACTTGAACACAGATGTTGAAGGAAGTTACCATAGTATTACCTTGTGGAAGTGAAACCCACATCAATAAGCCGGTGGCAGATATAATATGGCCCTGTAGAGGACAGTGGTACATCCTGTATGATCTAATAAATTGCCTTTTGTCTTAGGCCCTGATCCTGCAAAGCACTTAGGTCTGTGCATAGTGATATTGACTTCAAGGTAGTGCCTACAGTTATGCATGGGCTTAAGTGCTCTTGTTGATTTTAGGGCCTTATTAAATAACATGTTTTTGTCCCTAAATCCTTCTGAATTGAGGGACCTCTGCTATACTGGCTACCTGCTGGCATGAAACTGTAAACACTGGAGGAATGTTATTCATTAATTAATGTCGGCATTGTGAGGTCCATGATGTTTTAAATGATGCAGCAAATAAAGGGTTAAAGTAACCAGTCCCTGGAGATCGTTTCTAAAGCTTTCATATTTGCTGCATTCTCTCCTATGAGAAAAAATTGTCCAGACTGAAGTGAATGGACTGTAACATCAAAACCCAGCCAAATGCTGTGTTTTTTTTTTTTAATAAACCTCCTGTGCTGTTTAAATGTCGGAACTAAATTTACCAAACTTGGCAGATTTCTAAAGATGAACAGGACTGCCAAGTGTCCCCAGCTTCAAGCAGGGAGAGGGAAAGATCTAACCGTTCCTAAAATATTTTCAGGAGGCACCTGGTGGTAATTGCAGTTTTGCCGTTCTGCCCAGGCATCTACCTTTCTATCCGGCATCTCTGTGCTCAGATTGTTATTAGAGCATTAGAATAGGACATTCCCAAAATAAACCAGAGCGCCCAGAAGACAAACACTTTCCTACCAGCGTCCCTTCTGGAGAACCCTTAAGAAACTGATGTAGGTTCTCAGCATTGCAACCCGCATGGTTACACCAAACAAATTAAAAAAAAAAATACAACACATGACTTGGCTTTTTTTTTTAATTTTTTGAACCAGGGATTGCTGTCAGAGATCCTGCGTAAAGAAGAAGACCCTAGGACAGCTTCCCAATCCCTCCTGGTAAACTTGAGGGCAATGCAGAATTTCCTCAACCTGCCTGACACAGAGCGGGATCGTATATATCAGGACGAGAGAGAGAGAAGTATGAACCCCAATGTGAGCATGGTGTCTTCGGCAGCCAGCAGTCCGAGTTCTTCCAGAACCCCCCAGGTAAGGCGCAACCCCTCTTTAACTGTTTTTCTTTGGCTTGAGATCCTGCACATATCTTGGAGAGGGGGTTTCTCAGTATTTTCCTGTCTGTTGTTCCCTGCACCTAGATGTGTCTTGGAAACTTCTTCTGTAGGGTTTTGGAGTTGCTGGTAAGAGGCGTTTATTGGCTGTCAGCAAGGCACTGTAACAACTTTAGCTATGACCCATGGCATAAATACAAAGAGGTATTTTAGTACACGAGAGAGGATACATGTGCTGTGTATACAGATTAATGGTGTATGTCCGCTATATAGCTACTACATGATGGATTATAGAAAGAGCCATGTTTCTAACTTATGTCCTACGTTGTTAGTGTCTATTTCAGTGGGCAGGGCAGAGAGAAGAGTTGGACCTGGGTTCATGTGTGATTTTCAGTGAATAAGAGTGTGTGGCTGATATAGTACATGGCTCCCAGTGAATGAGAATCTCATCGAAATAAGTTTGCTCAGTAGTCTGCCTCATCAGAGTCCTTATTTTAGAGGTTTACATTTGTAATCACTTACAAGTATGGAGATGTCAGGTGGGTGGAGTGTTGAAACGGAAGATCACTGCTTGCTATTGCCACCAACTATTGTCTGATTGACGTAGCTTCAGATTTCTGTACGCTTTTATCGCTGCTGTTTTACCACCCACTTCCCTAACTCCCTATATAAGATGTTCATCTGCCACTAGAAAAAGAGAACGTGGGCACACAGACTGCAGTGTATTTTCCCCTGCTCCCTGACTGAAAATAATCTCACAAACATTTAGGCTTCTGAAAAAGGGTGTGTGCTTAGAAGGAGATTGTGATTACAGCAAATTACCTTTGTCATCACAGCATTTGCATAGCTTTAATCTGAAATTCCTCACCGCAGAGCTAAACCCGCTCAGTTCCAGCATTTAACTTGATTCAAAACTTTACTGGTGAATGGGCCTGTGTCATCATCCTGCTTTAGTAACTCTAGTATTGTGAAGTCTGTAAAGCATCTGAGTTGTAGTTCTGTGTTCACATTATCTGTGCTTCTAATCTTATTACTGGATACTTTTCATATCTGAGATCTGGAGCTCTCACTCTAGTTATTGGCAGTAGCGTAGCACAGACTGATGAGTTATAAAGACAGGATTTTGTTTCTGTAAAAACAATTGAGGTCATTCAAATACATCCTGGCATTTTAATACTCTTTATACCTACACATTACATAAAGGAATGGTTAATTGCAGGTAATTTTCTAGCATACTCTACTCACACAAATTTGAAAATGAATTTTGGGTTGCAAACCCAGGTCGTTGGCCTAACTAACTATTATCTTCCCAGTTTCCATTTCATGAAAGTGAGGATGTGTCAAGACAACTTCTATCTGATACTTTAAAACATCATAACCACACGTGTTTCTGCATTAATTATTGTAGTAAAGGATTTGCTCATTCACACAAATGTTCAACTAGGATAAATTCCACAACTAGAGTTACATACGAGGCACTCTGGCTCTGGGGATAGGTTTCGGTGCAGGTCAGTGGATCGTGGGAGTTGGAAAACCAGGGTTCTGATCATGTCCCTGCCCCCAACCTGCTGGCAAAGCCACTTCACCTCTTTGCCTCCTTTCCCCCATCTGTAAAACGAGGCTAATGGGTAACACCTTCCCATTTAAGAGCTCAGCATTGTTAGCAAATCTGATTATAAAAGTTTAAAGAGACAAGGCGGGGGAGGTAATATCTCTTGGACCCACTTCTGTGGGGGAGAGAGGAGCTGTTGAACTTGCACAGAGCTCTTCCTCAGGCCTAAGGCGAGTCAGAGGCACCCCAGGCTCACTTTACTTTTTGACTTGAATGAGGCAGCTAGGTTTTTTTTTTTTTTTTACATATTTGTTTTATTGATGAGCAACAGTGATACATAGAGCGTGGTGCCCTCAGTGCTTGTCTTTTCCTGAGCACGCCGGGAGCAGCTCCTCACCCCACAGTGTCTGGGCACCAGTGAAATCCCACTTCAGCACTTGCCAATGGCAAGGCATGCTGTCGGCACTGCTGGGAAGACCTGGGCACCCCCGAAAACAAGGCTGTTGACCAGCCCGTAGGCAGCACATTTTACTTTGCTTCCCATATACATTGTATTAGCCTGGGTGAGGCCAGTATCCTCTTGATCTCCTGTTCAGTGATTCCCGCAAGTGCAGCTTCCCAGCCGAGATGTTCTAAATAGCAAGAATAGGGGCCTTGGACATAGCAAAGGTAGCTAGATGGGAGGAATTGTACTGTCCTTCTAGGAATTATGCTACAGTGCTAGAGAAGTTGATTTAATGGCATTTTGAAACATCGTTTCCATAGATACCAGTCTCCTGAGACAGTAGTTCTGGGAATGATTTTTCAGTGTGGAGGGTTAAACGAGAGGGTATCGTCAGCTACTATTAATATGGAATAAGGACAGTGGGGGGTTGATATAACGGGGATGGGGAGTTAACCACCCGTCTGTAATTCTGCACTGGTGATGAAATCCCCACCTGGGGTGTTTCCTTGGTATGTTCCGGTATTGTTCAAGACCAACGTGAGGAGCGGAGTACCAGATTAACTCAGCAAAAGGATCTGAGTGCTTTAAAAACAAATTCTGAGAGTTTAAAAGGTTGTTGCGTACATTTGGCCAGTTCTCGCCAGTCTGTTTTACAAAGGAGTAAGGGATGCAGCAGTAACTGACAGGACTTAAGAGCTCTTACATTGTTGCTGCCCACTTATCCTCTTCCTTTGCTTATTATTTGCATTGAGAGATTCCAATAATGGCCAACTTCACATTAGCATCAAGACAGTTTTCAAACCTGGGGGTCGAAAGTTAGGCACCTAACATCCTCAAGATTTAAGGTGTCATCGAAAGAAGTCCATTGGAACTAGTGGGTGCCTTTAAATCTTTGACTTCAGTAGGCTTTGGATGGGACCTTCAATGAAGATTTCCATGGTGAGGAAAGGATTTGGGGTGGGAAGAGCTAGGAGGAAGAGAAGGGAGGGAGCTCAGAATGTTCTGATTGGCCTAGGTAACCTTTCTGTTAACATACAGACATTTGGGCAGTTGTGTCCAGCTAACAATTGACACTAGAAATGAGCCTGAATCAAAACCCTGTCATAACTACCCCCAAACTCCGGGCAATTGCAGGTATATAGGCAGGGACCAGCTGCAAAGGTTTACAAGGGGCCAAACCAAGATCTGGGAATGGAACACACACTCAGAACTTTTGGGAAGGTTTGGATCTCGAATGTGCTGTGAGCTTTGCCACTTGGGCTCATTTATTTCTCAAGCCCTTTGCACCTCAGTTGCAAACAGACAATTTATACTTGTGATGTTCATCCTTTCGTTAAGGGCTCTTCCTCTCTGGTGCAGGGATTCCAGGGTGAGCTGTTTCAGAGTTAAAGCCTAGTTTAGATCAACTCTAATAGCTCTGCTATTTAGCCTTTGGAAAATGAATGAAATCTGGCATTCCGAGGAGCTGATGCTGCTGACACAGATTACTGAGTGTCCTACTGTAAAAGCACCAGTGGAAGGGCATGTCATCGCTCTCGGTCTGTTACTCGTCAGTAAAGTCTTAGTGCTGCTGAGGAGGTTAAAATAAAAATCTTGCCGCAGCCTGGTGGATTACATTGGTACAAACCTTTTAGGGTTCGCTCAGCCTGGGGAAGGGCTGGCATCCTCCGTTATTGTCCTTCATTTGTCACAGAAGCTGATGGGAAATCATTCAATTAAAAGGAGTGCACTAGAATACACAAAATCGCAATATGAGTTAAGGAGAATGAGGGCGGCACATCAAAGGCATGCCAAAGCCTGGCTTTATTAAATGATTTTTTTTTCATTTCCACTGATTTCCTAGGTGAAATTAGGTGACTGTCTGGCTAGCATAATGATGATAATGATGGGAAACCATACATACTCAAATGACATACGTATAGCTTTAATAAAGAATGAGGGAGACTTGAGGGAGTGCATTAAATTGAGTAATAATTTATTATTTAGAGACCTCTACCCATTTACTCATTTTTTCTGGGAGAATTGGCTCTTCCTCCAAGGTATGCCATTTTTAGAACAACAAAAAAGAAAAAGGCATTGCCCCATATATACGCTGCATTTGCAGGCCAGCAGAATGAACTTCATTGTTTGCCTGCAGCTTAGAGCCCCAGCTACCTATCCCGTCTTTGAGCTGTTCAATAAATGTGCTGAGAGAGAGAGGGTTGACAGGGCCCTGCACGTCCTATAGGAATGCATTGCAATTATTTCCAATCACAATTAACCTGATTAGAATAATGGACAGGAAGTGTCCCTCTGTAGCTAATGCAGTTTGGCATCAGCTGACTGAAATCCTTTGATAATTTCTGCACAGATGGCTGGGCTGAAAGCAGCACTTTTTTAATTATTATTTTCATGGTCTCTTGGTAGGCCAAAACCTCAACACCGACAACAGACCTCCCCATTAAGGTGGACGGCGCCAACGTCAACATCACAGCTGCCATTTATGACGAGATCCAACAGGAGATGAAAAGGGCCAAGGTGTCTCAGGCCCTGTTTGCCAAAGTGGCTGCCAATAAAAGTCAGGTGAGTGGTTTTTTAAAAAAGCAAATTCTGGGGCTGGGATTAGACCCTTCTCCTCCTCCCTCCCACCAATAAAAATACATCTGTTCCTGCAATAATAATAATCTCTGGGGAACCTGTCATGTTTCCTCTCTTGCCTCCCGGCTGGTTTCTTTTTCCTTTTAAAATAGGATGGAAAAGGGACCAGCTCATGATCCCATGTAGTTGGTTTTGGTTTTGTACATATTGGGGCCCTCTCACTGAGATGCATACACCTCCCTCCCAATTGTGGTATGTAACCTAAAATTTCTGGTAGTGGAACAAGGACCCTCCAAAATTCTGCCTCATTTGGGAGATAAATTCTTTATTTTTCTTAATTGCTTAACTCTGGGAAACCAATGGAAAACCGCAGCTGAGGCAGATATTTTTTGTTTTATATGCAGTATATATTGTGTACAGTATTGCCTTTTAAATAATTCACTGTACATCCTTGCCATTGTACAAGGAGGGGTTGGGGGAGAAGGACTAACACTTAGTTCGCTTGTACTAGCTCTCACCTTGGAGGCAAAAAATACATACTAGGGAACTCAAAGTGGGGCTAAAATTCTTTCAGGAATCAATGAAATGGAAATTTTATCCAACTGTTTACCAAAAAAAAAAAAAATACCGCCAGAACAGTTTTATGGAGACAGTGGGGGACAGAGTTTGGCATAGGGCAGACAGTGAGTATGTTGGTGACCATTAAGAAGGATTCTGTGTGAAAGGGGCAGTTTTGTTATGAGATGGTACCAACCTGTGTGTGTTTGTGTGTGTGTGTGGAGGCGGGGGGTGGGTGGGTTACTCATGCACACTCTCTCTGCTAGTAATATATATACTATATATATATATTTTCCTTTCCTTCAGGCAAGAAAACAATACTATTCAAACCGAAGTAAAATAAATCTGATGAAAATGTTGAAAGGCAGCTAAACAAGGCATTAAAAGCCATCGATACCATTCTAAGAGCCTTACTCTCTTATATGTATTTATATCCTGGCATAGACTGATTCCTTTCCCCTTTCTTCATTTTCTCTTTCCCTTCTTAATTGTTATTTCCCTCTTATGTGGAGGTGCTTGGGTTACAGCGCACAATCCCCCCAAAAACCCAACACACACACAGGCACAATATGAAATACATAAAAGGAAAATACCATGGAACCCTTTTAAACTGTTAAATGCATAAAAATCTCATATACCACATGGCAAAATATAATGAGAACTGGAGCTGTTAAACGAATAAAGCTGTTAAAAGCATAATGCCACTTGGCACAACTACTGTGCATTTAACGGTTTTCCACTGTGTAATAAATGACATATGTGGTAAACGTGCAGTAAATATAAAAACTGCACAATTGATTTTGCAAACGTGCCCCTTATTCTTTGATTCATGCAAATATCAAAGTTACACACACAGTCCGGACAGGCCAGTTTTTAATAAGGAGTTTTTAGTACAGACTGAAAGCCAGTCTCTCTGAGGTTTGGCTCAAAATTGTCTGCAAACTTCCTGTCATTTTACCGAGAGGAATCTTGAAATAGAGGCACCGAACCACCCAAAAATAATTCGGGTGGCTCACCAGCGTCAGTCTGTGCCAGTTCAAATGCTTAAAGTGAACAGCAACGGAGCCATTCCCTGGCAGAACTGAACACCAGCCATTCTCCTGAAATAAAAATAAGCCCATTCCTGTCCCACTTGAAAATGGAAAAAAAAAGACGCAAAGTTTGAAAGCGTGAAGCAGAAGGTTGAAAAGAGGACCCATGAATGCTCTTGTCTGGAGTGAACTAAATGTAAGGTTGTGTTGTTCGTCCCCCACAGCAGCCAGTTCAGAAGGGATTCTGAGCTGATGTTTGTTTTGTTTCACAGCCCTGCCAAGGCAGCATTGTTGACTCCCTGTAGTGCTCCAGCATTCACCATGCTGAGAGGTCCTGGCTACCATGACATGCTGCTGGAGTGTGGAACTGGCTTATGCAGGGCACTGAGTGGTGGGGACAAATAAGTGGTTGTCCCTGAAATAGAAGTATGCTGCACCTCCTCTTTTCCTGAAGACCCTTTACTGACCACACCCATAGACTAGCTGTGTGCTCCAGTAAGATCCCTCAGCTTATGTGATGTCAGCGCCTGCTGTGGGGGTGACATTGAACACAAGTTGGCCTGAATTTGAGGGACTAGGAAAAAAAGGAAAGCAAATTATTGGTTCATTTGTGTGGGACGTTCCCTCCTCTCTCCCCTCACCCACTGTGGGACTCTCAGCACATAACCTTACATTTGGTTCATTTAAGAACTAGCAATGAATTTCACTCTGTGTAGCCTAACTCTGCTCTTGTTGAATGACTGTGAGTGTTACCATTGGTTTCCATGGGAGTAATGCCACTCACAGAGCTCTGGAAAATCCCTATATTTGCAGGGGGAATAATGTTTGAAAGAGAGAAGAAAGAAAGAGAGAGAGAGTATTAAAGGCGAGTCTGATTGCACTCTTCTCCAAGGTTCATTCCTTTGCTGTTCTCCCCAGGTCAGGCTTGCTTTGTAGTGTTGCATAAACTTCCCCTGTTGTTTTCCCTCTTCCCCAACTCTGACCACTGGGATCAGTCCAGTTTGCTAGTAAGGCAGCTGCTCTTGTTCTTTCAACAGCAATACCTATGACTGTGAGATCTTCACAGTGTTAACCGCCAGCAAGTATCAGATAAGGATGTTCTGACATTTAAAAAAAAATCCTTAATGTTGAGCTGCCTCTCACACAGCCAAGAGCCAGCGGGACCCGTTTCTTTTGCCCTCTTCCTGGAGGAAGAGTTGGTACCCAATGAAAATGGCTACTGTAATTGGGATTATCCACTGGTGGAATTAATTGGCCTATAATTTAATACCCATCCATCTCTGTTCTTAAATCCTTTTGCAGATGAGGTTTAGCAGCTAGAGGAGTGAGGGTTCTTAGGAGTTTGGAAATCAGGGTAAATGAAAGGCCTGGGGGCTTCAAAAAGGGAAAGGTGCGAAGATAATGTGGTGATAGTCTTTAAGGGATTTAACCCCTGTAATGATCTCAGTTCTGAGACCATTAATCTCAGACTTTCTACTTAACAACCATTTATGTTCGTTATGTGTATATTTTTATCTAAAGTTTGATCCTTTGCAATTTAAATACAGGCATTTATGGCCTGATTTTCTGACGTATGAGAGGCCAGTACCTGCTTTCACTCACACCTGTGTAAACAGGAGTAACGAAGCTGAGCATCTCTGACTTACACCAGTGTAGCTAAGAGCAGAATCAGGCCCGATATGTTTATATTCTTATACTGTTTTAAAAACATAAATAAAACCCAGGGAAATTAAGTACAAAAAACTATGCTAGTGACGTTGAGACGAAATGCAAGGAAATTACTACATTGTGTGTGTGTGTGTATGTATATATATATATATACACACATAATACCATATATATATAGTCCCCATCACTGTAGTTCCAGAGAACCTTTATGGTGCTTATGAATCTGTGTCTGATGCACACCCATTTGATTCATAGTTTGGTATTACTCTTTTACAGTACCCTAAGGTCACATGGCAAACATAAAAAGATAAGTCCCTGAGCCAGTGATCTTAAATTCTCTGTGTACCTTTAGGGCTGGTCTACACTAAAGCTGTAAATGGACCTAAGTTACACTACCTCAGTTACTGTAACTTAGATTGACTTACAGTGGTGTCTACACTGCACAGTGTCGATGGAAGATGCTCTCAGGGAGGTGGCCTACAGACATCGATGGGAGAGTGCTCTTCCATCGACTTAGCAGGTCTTCACTAGACCTGCTAAATCTACACTACTGCGTCAATCGCAGCAGTGCCGATTTAGCCCTAAGTATAGATAAGCCCTTAGACACCAGTGTCTTCTCTACAATCTTCTCTACAATCTGTTTAGACATTTATATGGTCCCCATTACACATAGTAACTGAGTACCTCACAGACATAATGAATTTATCCTCACAACAACTCTGTGAGGTAGGGAAATATTATCCCGATATTACAACTGAGGTGCACAGATTAACTGATTTGCCCAAAGTCACTCAAAAAATCTCTGATAAAGTTGGGAATCCAAATCATATGAGTTCCAGTCCATTGTCTTAACCACTGACTAGCCTTACTCTCCTACAGGAGATATCCTCGGTGTTGTGCTCTTTTGAACTCTGGGAACCTAAATACACAAAATCTTTCAATGTCCCTTTTATTCAGGAATATAGTACCAGGAACTGCAAAAAACTTCATTTCTATTAATCTAGGAATATGCCAGGATTTGAAGTTACTATATAAAGCCAATGGTTTAGTGTTTAGTCTGAAATTTTGGAAGAAGGAAAAATACTGATCAGTTTTCGTTAGTAAAATTCAAGGTATAAAATGATTAACCTTGAACTGTAACAAAATGCGCTGTGTAAAGCTTTTAAGGTTCAGTTGACCTCCTCATCAAGAATTCATTGAAGCCCATGACAGAACTCTCCATTCTAGTTAGTCTTTTATCCATTTCAGCTTTCTTGATTAGGTTATCTCGAATCATTAGGGGGTTTATTTATTTTAATAGACACTTATTGGATTCATGGAAAGAGAGTTTGGCGACTAAGGAACAAGAGCTGAATATTATCTGGCTCATTTCGCACTGCAGAAGAGTCCCAGCCAAGAAGAGAAGAATGCTTTCTGCGCTTCTGAAAGTTTGATCCAGGGACTTCATGCGATTCCCTTTAGAAAGTGATCTTTCTGTGGCTAATAGCGTAACTTAAAAAAAAAAAATCTTTCAAGACACACATCAAATGTTGCTTTTTTTTTGTCACATATGTTGACATTTTCTGCACTGATGATGTGGGTGAGGAAATGGCCTTTTACATTTATTTTGAGAGGAATCTTGAATCACTCTCACTAAAAACTCTTCATTTGCCTACTCATGCACTCATAGGAATCCCTGGAAAATGTCAGTGTAGAAAATTCTAAAATTATTATTTTTTTTAAAACTGA